GATGTCTCCCCATCAAGAATCTAGGTTCCTAGTGAACAGAGCTCATTTTCTCCTCTTAGTCTTAGGATTTTCATCCATACTTCTTTTTTTTTTTTTTTTTTTTTTTGGATTTTTCGAGACAGGGTTTCTCTGTGTAGCCTGGGCTGTCCTGGAACTCACTCTGTAGACCAGGCTAGCCTCGAACTCTCGAACTCAGAAATCCGCCTGCCTCTGCCTCCCAAGTGCTGGGATTTAAAGGCATGCGCCACCACTGCCCGGCTCATCCATACTTCTTAAAGCATCTTTTATAAAAAGTACTCCTTAGATTTGGGGATTTTTTTCCCAGCTTTTTATTTAAAACTTTTTCATATTGTAAAATATAAGTTTTTTAATAAACAGAAAAAGTAAACTTTAAAAATGAGTGTATGACCAAGGTTGTTGAGAAATTCCTTTGTATCTCATGAGCCTGGGCCTTCTGTACCTCTTTAATTTTCTCTCTGCCCTGCACCCCGTCTTTTCTGTATAGTTCTGGGAAGAAAACTCACCTTGCTGTCTTAGTTAGAGTTACTGTTGCTATGGTGAAACATCATAACCAATCGCAGGTTGCAGAGGAAAGGGTTTATTTGGCTTCCATGTCCCTGTTCAACATTAAAGGAAGTCAGGACAGGAACTTAAACACAGCAAGAACCTGAAGAAAGGAGTTGATACAAAGTTGATATATGGAGGGGTGCTGCTTACTGATTTGCTCCTCGTGGCTTGCTCACCCTGCTTTCTTATAGAACCCAAGACTACCAGCCATAGATGGGATGGCACCACCCACAATGGGCTGACCCTCTCTCTTTCAATCACTAATGGAGAAAATCCCTCCCCGCCAGTCAGTACACTTCCCAAGTCACCCACACTCCATGAAGAGGAACATTCTGACACCTTTTGTCATATTTAAAATTTGCAGCTAGAAGTTCTGGGAAATCCAGGGCTCCCTTCTGTTCACGTGCTCTCTAACATCCTGACTACACTATGGGCTGCATGTTGGAGGAGATGGATTCCTTTTCTGTCTTCTCTGTGACCAGTATCTAGCACAATGCCTGGATACAGCGGCCACTTATAGTTGATGAATGAGTGATGGATGAGTGTACTTCTTCATTTAGAAGGCCCCAACGCTTCTCCCTGGTTTTCACCGTCTCCCTGCCCATGCTTCGTCAAGTGCCACTTCACTTTGTAATCCTCCTTAGCCGTCCTCCAGATCCCTCAATGCAGTGTCACAGTGCCGAGCCCTGAAGCCAGACATCAAAGGACTGAAGCCCGAAAGTGATGTTTTCCATCACAGTTTTTTGCAATAGTCCTCGTCCTAGATTTGAGGGGTGTGTGTGTGTGTGTGTGTGTGTGTGTGTTGCCTTACTTTCAAGCACAGTTGAGAGCCTAGACCACATAAAATCATTTGTAAATACTAGTATACACCTATAGTCTTCAAACGTTGATTCTGTTTTTAATTCTATTCGCCTACTTATTTTGACAGAGCTGTGTTGGTGACTAAAAGAGGTGACTCCACACACATGCTTGTAGGGATGCAGATACAAAGGCAAAGGGGTAAGGACAGGGACGGGTGTTAGTTTTGTCCCAGCTGTCTACCTCGTCCTGTACTGAACTCCCAGCATTTCCTCTCTGGCATAACTTGGTGCTGGAATTTACACAGATGTAGACAATTATGCCTTTGAAACTTGAAATTTGGCTTGCAAAGCAGTTTATTCCGTTGTCTACACAGCTGCCATCTGAGTGAGAATTGAGAAAATTCAAGAGTTTAGAAAATGGTGTCCTTTCATCCCTGCCAGGGACCTTTTGGGCTCATAACATTTGGAAACAGAGTGAGGCTCTCTGGGAGGGTTGGTCATAACCATGGGCTGAGTTGGCGGAGCCACCACTCATGTCCCTAGCTTGGATGCTCTCTCTTTTCCTAAGAACGGAGACCCATGGATGGGCAAGCTTGAATGCCAACCCTGTAGGATAGCCTCTCCTTCTGTGTCCAAGTGGCTTCAAATATAAAAAAACAGCTGCTCCCCCCTCATAAATGCAGTTTGGAGTTGCCGTTTGGAGTTCCTAGATTGCCTTAGAACAAAGAGCAGTGTCACGCAGTTGATGTCAGCATACACACTGAAGACTCTTCTCTAACAGGGCTGAGCGGGTATTGTAGAGCCCAGAGGTGTAAAGACAGACCCTCCAGGGTGCTATTAGGCTGTTATTCAGGTGATAGACAGCTTCAGAAAAATGATATGTTGTACCAGAGGAGAAGATAGAGCTGGAGCTGTACAGAGTGAGCAGGGCTCAGGACGGTAACAGCCCACTGGACATAGTAGAGATGGCTAAAGCTAAAAGATCAAAAGTTCCATGGCAGACTGAAGTATAAAGCAAGACAATATCCCCTCCCCCAAAGAGCGAATGCGCGCGCGCGCGCGCGCACACACACACACACACACACACACACACACACACAGGACAATGATACTGAACCTAACTCTCTGTGTTCTATTTTACAAAGAAAGCACGTGTGTGCTTTTTCACACACGCGACGAAAAGTGTTTTTACAAAAGGCTTTTCTTCTCTCTTTTCCCCCTGTCTGACTTTCCCTCGCCCCTCCAAAAATCCCAAAAGACTGTTTCCCTTTAGTCCTTGTTTAAAAAAACTGAAACTAAGATTTTTGTTAAAGTGATGGTCTATCGGTTCTACTTCTATGAGCAGTCAAGTTCACTCTTGTGGACTGCCGCATCTCCTGCGCTACCTACCAAGAAAAGAATGCATTCGGTTTGCAAGGGGGCGGAGCCCAAGCAACGTCCCTAATTCAAGGGTCGGAACGTGGAGCTGATGGGTTTCAGGGGAACGAAGTCAAGCGTTCTTGTACATACTCACCTGCGGGTGGTGGGTTGGTGGGTTGTTTTTTTGTTTGTTTGTTTGTTTGTTTTTTGTTTGTTTGTTTTTGTTTGGGGGGGGCTTTTTGTTTTTTGGGGTTTTTTTTTTTTGCTTTTTTGGTTTTTGGGGGTTTTTTTGGTTTTTTTTTTGGAGGTGAGGGACCCATAGGTGTCCCTGGATTCTCTGTTGGATAAATCAAATTTTACTTCATTTCACATATCCCTAACACAAGAGAAAGAGACCCTCGCAGAGGTCCCGAAGCAGTCGCTAGAACTTTTGCCACTGCCTCTGAATAAGGAAATGAGTGGCAGTTCTGTCCTCTCCTGAGGGACATTCAACCTACCTCTACTGCCGGCATACAAGAGACCTGAACTAGCTCCAGCTACTACAATACCTCCGTCTCAGCGTCGCTCCTTCCCTCCACAGCCCCAGGATCTCACAACCCTTTGCGCGATTTTGTTGCCTGATTCCAATCTGAACGGGCCCAGCTGGGTATTCTTACTTATTTACTCCTACCAGGCGAAAGACTCAGATCAAAAGCTATCAGCTGGGTGCATTCTAGTCTTTTTATAAACATACAGAGATAACAATTCAGGACTACGACAGGCATATGAAGGGCTGAGATCGCAGGGCTTCGGTAAGGCACGGACATAGGTCACAAGCAGTATCTAATTTCCAGCCCTACAATATGCTGTGGGGGTGCCACTAGCTGAGAATTAGTGGACCCTTTAGGCAAAAAGAAACAACAAAGTCCCTGTCCTTGGCCTTGTCCAGACTCTAGTTCTCCTGCAATTTCTGCTCTTGATGTGTTTTTTGGTTTTTTTGGTTTTTTGGTTTTTTGGGGTTTTTTTTCATTATTTACCCTTTACCCCCCCATTCGGTACTACTATAATAATTAGAAAGAATTGTACTAGGCAACATGCACATATCCGTCAGCCAGTATAGCTCATCCTCTAGGATGACATTTAACTAACCAGCCAGGAGAAATGCTAACCTGTGACAACAGCCAATGCAGCCAAACGGGAGCCTGAGGCCACTGTCCCAGAGTTGTATGTTACTGAAGGACCCTTTCCCTCAACCATACACTTCTCCGGTAGCAGCTGCCTGGGATTCTCCCCATGCTGGGATAGCAATGGTAGAGGAGCTTGAAGGAGAATAACAAACTCCATGTTAAACACTACCTGAACAAGAAAGGGCTCTCAATTCAAGAAAATAGCCCTACACCACTCCCTCTGGTGCATTACCAATAACTAACTTTACTACAACCAGCTGTAATTTTGTCTCTTGACTCTGTCATTTTTTTTCTTGCTTTATTCTTTATTGGTTATTTTATTTATTTACATTTCAAATGTTATCCCTCTTCCTGGTTTCCCCTCCGCATGCCTCCTATCCCATACCCTTTGCCCCCTGATTCTATGAGGGTGTTCTCCCACCTACCCACCCACCCACTCCCACCTCACCAATCTAGCATTCCCCTATGCTGGGGCATAGAGCCTTCACAGGATCAAGGACCTCCCCTCCCATTGATGCCAGATAAGGCTATCTTGTGCTACATATGCAGCTGGAGCCATAGGACCCTCCTTGTATACTCTTTTGTTGGTGGTTTAGTCCCTGGCAGCTCTGGGGGGTCTGGTTGGTTGATATTGTTGTTCTTCCTATGAGGTTGCAAACTTCAGTCCTTCCCCTAACTCCTCCATCAGGATCCCTGTGCTCAGTGGTTGGCTGCGAGCATCCAATACAGATACTGGTCAGGCTCTAGCAGACCTCTCAGGAGACAGCTATACCAGGCTCCCGTCAGCAAGCACTTCTTGGCATCAGCAATAGTGTCTGGGTTTAGTAGCTGCAGATGGGATGGATCCCCAGGTGGGGCAGTCTCTGTGGTTTGTTTTTGATTTTTGTTTTATGGGATGTTTGTTTGTTTGTTTGTTTTGTTGTTGTTGTTTTACATACAGACTATGTTACATTTCATGTCTCCATTTTTCTCAACAAATTACATATAAATTCAAAGTGTCTTTCTAGTCATGTCATAAAAAAGACAGACCAAGGAAGACCCTTTTTATAGAACACACGATTGTCAGGAATAGTAACTCAGCCCCATGCTTGGTATATTCTTGATACAGATTCGGAATGTGGCAGCCAACTTATGTGTGGATAGCAAACATGGAGCCACAGGAACAGAGCTGAGGCTGGACATCTGTGTCAAGGACGGTTCCGAGAGGACATGGTCTCATGAACAGGTGAGTCAGAGATCATGGAGGTGAAGGCTAGTGGGGTGGGAGAGAGGGCTGAGGATATCATGGAGGGACAGAATGGGAAGAAGCTTCTGGGTGGTACATTTGAGACTTGGATAAAGTCATGGTTTGTCACTAACCAGATCTATAGTTAGTGAGTCATTATCGGCCTCTGCTCCTGTTTCCTGTCAGAAGAATCATGATAATCAAACAAGATAATGGGTAAAAACTTATTTCAACTTGCAGACCAAGGATTAGTGTGATAGATCAGCCAGTAAAGTGCTGGCCGGGCACATATCAGAACTTGAGTCTCCTCTTCTAGAACCCATATTTTCAAGGCTGAGTGTGTTGGCATGTGCGTGTAATCTCAGGTCTGGTGAAAGAGAGACAGGCAGGTCAATAGTGATCACCAGGCAACCACCCTGGCTTATATGGTTGAGTTCCAGGCCAGTGGTGACTAATAAGGAGCTAAAACCATGAGAGAGAGGAGTGGGGCTGCAGACAAATAAAGACAAGGCATGTTCAGAACTGCCACAGTAAGCCCATTATTTTCTGTGCTAACCTTTATTTATTTGTATGTGCATGTGTTTATGCACATTTCTATACACATGCACAGAGACCAGAAGAAGGCCTTGCATTTCCCCCACCGAACACTCACCAGCTATTCTTTTGAGACTCTCTCCCTGATTCTGGGGCTTGCATTTTCTTCCTAGGCTGGAAGCCAGCAGTCGCTAGCATTCTCCTGTCTCTATCACACTTCCTCGGAGCTGGGGTCACAGGCACAATCCTGCACACGACTCTAGAGATCCTAACTGGTACTCATGATTGTTCAGGAAGACCTCTGACCACTGAGCCCTTTCTCCAGCCCCTTGAATACTAACTCTTAAAACTAATTTTTTTAATAAAAGAGATGATAGAATTGATCAATGTGGTGTAATCTTACCACCTTCTCCACAATGGAAGTTTTCAAGACAATGAGTCTGGAAAGACCAGAAAATTCATCAAAAAAAAAAAACAGACTGTTTTGTGTTTGAGACTTCAGTTAACCTTAATTTTCCCTCCTGGCTGTATATTGAAAGTAATGCATGGACCTCTTGTTGCAATTGTAGTTTTTAATCATGCATGTGAAGGAGAACTGAGGCAGCGTCACCCCAACATGGACTTCAAAGATGTTTTCGGACGACGCATTGCTTTGATTGAAAGACATTTCAGTGCAGCTCCATTTAAGGAAACTGTGGTTTCAAATCCAACCTAGAACTTGAAGGTCTTTATAAAAGGGTCTCTCCTTAAACTGTATTACCTGTGATAGAGAAATCATAACGTTTAGGGGTCCATGACACTTTGGTTTTTCATTTTGAAGAATGAAATATATCAACTAGGAAGCTATAGGATGTTTCATACAGATTTAACAAGAATCAATAGCTGTTGTCATAGTTACAAAGAAAAACAACGGGTAAGTACAGCTAAGGCTTTTCCTGTCTTAATTCTCTTTGCAGAAGGAGAAACCCACAGTTGGGGCATTATCCCCTGACAGTGTTTTGAGTTTCTTAGAATAGACTGTAATAGCTGTCTTAAGAAAACAACAAAAAAAGTGTTCAAGCACGTCCCTGTTGGCACCGCTGCATGACTCTAGTGTGTCCCTTGCACGGCCCTCTTGCACACTGACCAGGAATAGGCTCTGTTGGAGAGTTCTTGTGCTTTGGAAAAACTCCTTACCTTACACAAAACTCCTTAGCTCCACACAAAAGAATGTTGGCCCAATTGAACTACTGATCAATGACGCTACCCAACCCAAGGTCCTTAAGGAGTTGTTCAAGTTCCCTTCTCTTCTCCCCACTCTTTCTTTCTGGCCCTCCTCCATCCTGAATCAGAGCACTAGGATGCTGGAAAAGCAACAAGTTCAAAACTCAGTCAAGGATCAATCTCATCAGATAATGCAACACCCTCTAACACCACACACTTGCTAGTCATCTATCCAGTGTGTTTTAAAAAGACGTAGAGCCTTAAAATCAGGCCATCATGGACTTCACTTTAAATCGTCAGCCTTGTGAAACTGTTCAATTCTTCTAGGCCAGAGGTTCTTCACCATTAAATAGGAGCAACAATCCTCCATCCTATACAGGGTTCTCTGAGAAGAAATGATGCCTGAGATGTAACATCAACTCCCACAGGAAGTCAGGGTAGTCTCTGTACTTCCCCTTCTATCTTCACACACACTCCTTACCTCACACGCACACGCACGCACACACACGCACAGACATGCACACACACACACACACACACACATGTCACACTCTCGGGTTCACTGTTGGTGTGATATGGTTGCATTGGTCCATCCCAGCATAATCATTAACTTTCGCTCTTGCCCACTTCAGCCTATCCTGTGGTATGGACAATTACCAGAAGATTCTGTGGCTCTCAGATGTGGTGATACTTACCAAATATCAGGGAGGAACTTAATGGCTTCCTCTGAATTGTCCTATAATCATTGCTGAGGTGTTGTCAGGCTTCAGAGGAAGAGTATTGGTTGGCACTCCCAACAAGCAGCCCAGATCCCAGCCTGAAGGCAAGCAAGAATGCTAAAGAGTCTGTCAGTGAGACTAGCATTTGGAGCACTTAGGAAGAACAGTCTCTAAAATTAAGTGAAGATTTCATTTTTTTAAAAAAAAAAAAAGTTGCTTCTTGGGCTAAGTTCATATGTTCTTTTCAGCCCAAGCAGGAAACAAATTTAGATAGATTATACATGTCTTAATACCTAAACCAGGTTTAATACTTCTAAGCAGGAAAATTCCAGAATGATGCATGCTCTGACCTGAAATTTTTATTTGACAGCTGAAAATGAATACGACCAAACTGAAGTATATTGAATACTTTTGTGGATTGTTAGGCTCAACTGCAAAAAATAAATAAAAGTATGGCATGTAAATTAAGAAATGGTCACCAGAGGGCAGCACTAGACAAGAAGAAAACTCAACACAGGCAGGGGAGGGGGAAAAAAATCCCTGTAGTTAATATAGCTCTTTACAAAGATTTCCATTCTCTGAGGAGCCTAAAGATGAAGCTACGGGGAGATTAGAAGTTGCAGGAAGGAGAGACTTGAGATCCGTTTGAAACGTGTCACCGTACACTGACTTGGTACAGGCAAATTCATTGTACGGTAATAAATATAAGTCTTATTCTACATTGTGCTTGTAAGTTATAATTCACTCTTTTACATTTATATTTATGTTACTGGATGAGAGGTACATCGGGCCAGGGATATTCATTTTAATTCCAAAGCTGTCAAAGTGACGAGATGAGTGAGTAAACAAATTTGTTACAAAGGCAATAAAGAGGGGTCCACTGAAGCATACCTTTATAAGGAAAACCTTCTGCTGCGCACTAGTCAGGACTAATCCGCCTTCTGTGCGGGAAGCAGGCGTATGATTCATCCTTCCGGGGTCATCTGCTGAGCTGTTTGATATCGCTCTAGCATTGTGTGCTGGCTCCCAGTTTCCTCTAGGGATCAAGAAAGAAAAACAAAAATAGATTCAAATAAGAGTGTAAGATCTGGAAGGCACCTCCCCAGCCTGCTTTGTGCGTACAGAGCGTACAGAGCGGGGTGGAGGGGCGAAAGAGAGGAGGCGGGCTCTCCCTGGCCTAGTTTGGCTGTTCTTTCCACTGGCCCAGCAGCAGGCGCTGAGCTCTTGCAGGGAGGAAGTGTTGCAGACCTTTCTGTCCTGCTGAGGAAGCTGACAGATTTTTCCTCTTTCTAAGACCTGGAGCGGGACATAGGCAAACAGAAATCCAAACGCGTCAATACATGCAGAGATAGAACGCCCGCCTTTCTTTAGGGATAAACAATCCCACTACCAGGACCCAGCATTCTGATGGGTACCGACTGTAGGAGGAAACATGTTATAACTCAGATTCCTGCAAACTACATAACAATGAAATAAAATATTACTTCCCACAGAGAGAAAAAGCTGTTTTTCAATCGTCTCATCAGGATGCCAGATTAAGATAAGTGTATTTGCAGCTCCAATATAGAGAGTTTATTTGTATAGTATAATATAACACAATATATAATATAATACAATACAGAGCCAGACAATGTTACACCCACTACATGCATATAAAAGCAAAGAAACAGGTGGGTCATGACTCAAAATCTATATTTTAGAATATCACTCAAAAGAAGAAAAAGAAGAAATTGACTTTTACTTTTAAACTAATAATTTGAGATTCTTTTTTTTTTTAAATCAAGCACTTCTGTTAAGAAAACCTAGATCCCTCCTGTGAGTAAAAATATGACCCAGGACTGAGAGGCAGATTGTGGATGTCACAATAAGTTCCAAAGAACCAAGATCCTTTCACAATTCGAGCTTGTTTCTACTGTGGTGAAAGTGTGTCTAACGGGGTTTGACATGACTGTTGGCTAAGATAAATGGCAAGCAGGAGCATTCCAAAGACATAAGAGAAAAAAATGTTATTGGAAGGTTCAGAAAAAGAAAGCAATGGGTATAATTTGAAGATTTATCGCCTGGGGCCCAAAATTGCAATCACCGGGTAATAATCACAAGAAGAGTGCAGAATACCTTATGAAAAATTCCCTTCCAGCAGTCAATCTACGGACGTAAGCAAGATCATTATCCTGCAATACCAAACCTAGAAACAAGAAACAAAAGTTGCCTAAGTTCACCCAGATATAATTATGACAATAGATGAAGCCAGAGGCAAATTTGCTGCCATTCGGGTATTCTTTGGGGCTTAATTGATCCATTTAATGGGAAAAAAGGGAGAAAATGGAATACATGAAGCCTAGATATTTGAGGCAGAAGTCACATCTCTCCAGTGAAGGTCTATGCTAGGTGTGGATTTACAATGCCTTCCATCTTTAGGCTTCTGAGTATATGAAAGAGGGGAGCTGGGCACACAGTCAACAGTCCCTGGCCACCGAGAGACAGTTTTCTAGAAGAGTCTAGTCCCTGGTAAATTGATCGCTCTCTCCAGCTGAAGAATATTTGAGGGGGTGGGAGGGAGGGGATCTAGGAATAGTTGAATATGATTTAAAAACATTATATGAAACTCTCGGAGAACTAAGGAGAAGAGGAGGGGGAGAAGGAAGAGGAGAAAGAGAAGGGAAAAAGAAAGAGAAAAGGGCGGAAGCATATGAGTCAGAAGCCAGGCAGCAAGTCTTCCTCCACAGACTCTCCTTCAGCTCCACCCCCAAGCTCCGGTCTTGATGGCTGCCTTATCCTTCCTTGACGATGGTGATCAGGAAACTCTAAGCCTAATGAACCCTCTCCTCCCCTAAAGTTAGACGAGTAAATGATAAAATTTTAAAAGTCTAGTTGGCCTCTTTGATGATTAATTTTCATTGTCAACATGTCCCAGGAAACACACCTTGGACTGCGGCGGAGTGGCTTTTCCTGAGAGGCTTCACTGGGGAGGGAAATACTGAGAAGTCCATGGGCTGTAGCCATGCTGTCTGAATGTGAGGCGATTAGCCACACCACACCTGTCATGAGGAGAAAGAGATGAACCCTGGTGCTTGCTATTTTCTTCCTTTTTTCCTTTTCATACAGACTATGGCCCCGAGTGGTACGACCCACAATCCTGGTGGGTCTTCCCTTCCCGGCTAAAGCTCCTTTTCTGACTCTTGATACCACAGAAGCAGCAACCTGACAGACACCCCAGCCCTCACACCTTCTCTACAATAACTGAGTATTTTCTCCAGTATGATCCAAAAATAAATCTTTTCTTCAAAACAACAACAAAAAACCCACAAACAAACAAACAAACAAACCCCAAAACACACAGAGAGCAAAAAGACAGAAGGGAACCAGGTAAATCAATCAAGACTTCTTGATTCAAACTCGGCAGGGCGCATGCCTACAATCTCAGCACATGGAAAGCTAAGGCAGGGTGTGGAGTTGAAGGTCTACCTGGGCTACCTAGTGAGTTGATGGCCAGTAGGACCCAGTTTCTTTTGTGTTTGTTTGTTTGTTTGTTTGTTTGTTTGTTTTTAAGAAGACTAAAACTAATTCGTTTATCTTGGCAGTTATTTCAAGTTTCTGTTGAAATAACTAGCACACATTGCACATATTGGACATAAATTTTATAGAGCACCTATACTTACCCTCAACGTTTCTGGGTGCTGGGAAGTGAATTTTAAAAGGACATGCTCTGCCATCCGGGATCTCACTACCTAGCGAGGGATGTGCACACAGTGGACATTCATGATGGATTAGAAAGAGAGGAGGGAAACACAGCAGTTCAGACATGAAGGCTGCGTGGGTGACTGGACTACACTGAGAAATAAAACCACTGTAGGATTGCAGGCTGACAGATGACCTAGTTTTAAATGAGTACACTGTCTTCAGATACACCAGAAGAGGACATCAAATTCCATTACAGATGGTTGTGAGCCATCATATGGTTGCTGGGCATTGAACTCAGGACCTCTGGAAGTACAGTCAATGCTCTTAACTGTTGAGTCATCTCTCCAGCCCAGCACACAAACAGACACACACACACACACACACTTTTAATCCCAGCACTAAGGAAGTGAGTAACAGAAAAGGTTTCCTAGAGCTTACTGGCCGCCAGCATAGTCTATCTGACAAGGCAAGCCACCTTGTCTTTAAAACAGAAGTGTTCAAGGCCTGAAGAACAATACCCAAGGTATTTTTGAACTGAGCTCTCAAACATCATGAGCATGCATGCACCTGCGTTCAGGGAACAAAACAAGGGAAAGGAAGCAGGTTATTGCACTAGTCTAGACAAGAGATGCTGACAACAAGGTGGAGATAGGGAGGATGAAACTAATTCCAGAAATGCTGAAGAAACTGAAGTGGTAAGATGTGGTGTGCCAGCATGTGTGAGGTGCGGAGCTCGAATCCTGGCATCGCCAAAGATGCGAGACAGTGGCCAGACTTGACAAGTAGTTAGATAAAGAAAGTAATTGAGGCAAAAGTTCAAAGACTCAATGACTGACAAGATTGATGACATTCCCACCAACGAAAACAAATTGAAGGAGAACAGGCTATCCAAGAAATGAAGATCCAGTGAATGTAGTCTGATACGTTGAATTTGAGTCATCTAGGAGATATGCAATTGGGAAATCCTGCCAGGGGCTAGACCGAAATCCTGCCATGGTCACTGGGTTTTGAGCATATTGGTGAAAACTGGTCTGGGAGAACTTAAGGCCAACTAGAACAGAGAAAAAAACAAACAAACAAAAACAAACAAACAAAAAAATAAACCGGGCAACACCCAGACAAAAGGAAGCAGACAAGTTGGTAACAACAAAGGAGCACAATCTTTCAAAAGTCATGGATATAATGCATTCCAATTAGAAGAGAGGTCTAGGTCAGGAACAACTGAAATAGCTACTTCTCCTGTGTGAAGCATCTAAGAGAACTTAAAAATCCAAGGTATGGTTGAACTGAACCACAAGCATGTTAACAGCAACAACAACAACACCCTCTGGAAAAAGAAATTACACAACTCCTGTTCATGACCCCATCACAAATGCCTAAGCTGGGCAGAGGAGAGAGGGCTCCATGATAAAGAGCACTGGCTGCTCTTCCAGAGGACCAGGGTTCAATTTCCAGTGTTCCTGGTGATCTGACACCCTCATACAGACACACATGCAGGCAGAATACCAATGCTCATAATACGTAAGTAAGCAAGTAAGTAAGTAAGTAAGTAAGTAAGCAAGCCTAACCTGACACCCCTGTCCTTCCATCTGAGATGGCCTCTAGTCCTGCCTTTCTGGAGCACTGCACACAGATGATCCTTTATTCAAACAATCTTCTTGCATGTGTTTGGATGTAAATCATTCCTCTTTCTAATTCAGACCACTTAACCTAGTCCCTTCCCTTGTTTTCAGATTCCTACCACCTAACTGTTCTCTCTTAGCCATCTCTAGAATTGTCCTGAATTCTCTAGGTAGGATCTGAAAACCCAAGTCTACTGAGGACCAGGTCAGCGGTGAGTGTATTGGCTGCTTACAGCTCTGCACAGTGTTTACTTTCTGCCAATAAGCCATTGTCCCTGACAGCTATCTTCACATGCTGTTGTCTACCTCCTAGAGTCTGCCACTGAGAATTATGTAACCTACTGAACCAGAACTGGAAGAAATCCCAAGGTGTCCCCAGTCTGTCTTCTCCTTTAATTAAGGACTTTTTCTGGTATAACCTACAAATGAGGCTTGGTTCAAGTAACTCAAGAAAATGTTCTTTTTCCACAGGAATGCTGTTTGTTCATTTAACACATTGTAAGGTTGAGTTAGGACATCCTAAGTAGCATTTGTAATATATAAGGGTAAGATGACTAACACAGGTAGGAACAGGAATCGGTGGATGGCACATTGAAGTAGTAAATGGAATCGTAGAATCTATCATTCCATGGAACTTCTGGGTGAGGTTGAAGGTCAGGGATCTGTAAGTCTGGACTGTACTTATTGGGAGTTACAGTCTAACCTGTGCCATCTATATCATCCCACAGAACTGCTCTAACCTGCCCTAGAAAATTAATTTGCTTATTCTTTACTTCATTGAGCTCGGCTTTGCTCTAAATTGGATTTTTCAAGGTGCGAGCATCAATCCAGCTCAACTTTAAGCCTTGTCCTTTGGCAGTTAATCTGCTCATTAGGCTAACACTGCAGTCCTTGATCCAGGAACATTTTTATCTATGTGACAAATGCTAAGAGTTTTATTAAAGGCTTGTCTTCTCCCTCTCCCTCCTCCCTCTCACCTCTCATCCCTTCCCTGTCCTCTTCCTCCACCTTCCAAGTATCTTCCTTTTTCCCTCCCTTCCACCCTTCCTTCTTTCCCTCGCTACTGGTTCCTAACAGAAAACTTCTCATTTGCATTTTTTGCCAGTCTGGGCTCAGGCGCAGTCACAGCACTTTGAAGCATGCCCTTTCAATGCCTCCATTATCCTGAGATCTACTTCTTCCTTGTAATCACAAAAGGAGAGCCCTGCATGTTAAGACCTCTCTCCCAATGCTCAGGAACCTTTCCCCCATATTGAACTCACTCCAGCTACTGTTATTTTTGCCAGCTCTTTACTTTCGGGTGGAGAGAAGATATTCGACCAGGTGAGCCTCTGCACACCCGGAAATTCTGCCTGGATGCCATCTCACACAGCAGCCCTGTCACCCTCTACGACTGTCATGGCATGAAAGGGAACCAGCTCTGGGGATACCGGGAGGTAAGTGTCAGCCCTGTGGTCATTCCCAAACTTTTGGGATTGTAGACTGACTACTAAAACCGTCTTGGTTTGATGCAGTGTCACCTGGACATACATACACACACTCAGTTCATACATGTGACAGGAGGCCACTGTGACAGGGAAAGATGCAGCAGAGAGAGCATGCTTTTATTTCCATTTGTCATGTGTACCTCCTCCCAAGCAGGGATAACTGAAAAATGACTCCAGATACCACAGGGATCTAGATTCAGCTCAACCAACCTAGGGGGAAAAGTGGCCACATGTTAAATAAGCAAATACGCTTATGCATAATTCTTAAAAATCCTAACTCACATCACATGTACTCATTTACGGTATACTTCAGATTCTTGCTTGGCAGCTGTCTGGTTAAAACAATTACATTAATACATACATATATGCATACATACATACATACACACATATATGCATATATATTCACATAGATATAATTGTAACACTTGGAAAAAAGTGTTTTGTCCCATTTGTGATTTGGCCAAAAATCTTCCCTATTATATCAAAGAAAAACTTATTTGGGAAACCTAAAATAAATTAAATTATAAGTGAACACTCAATGATAAAAATAGTTTTAAAACAAATATACTTAATGATAGAAAATAATTTTAAAACAAATACAAACTAGACTCTTATTTATTGAGCTAAGTAAGCAATTATATTATTTTTAAGAATTTTCATGCTTGTCGCCCTTCAGACCCACAAACGAGACAGTTTCCCCAGCCAGTGAGCTAACGCCTTGTGCATATTGTTCCGTGCTCTGGCACAATCCAGATTTACTCAGGCTATCAGAGAAATGGACCTAATGCTTGAACCAGAAGCATGGCTCTCCTGTGATAGAGAGCAGCCAATGTGACCCCAAATTACAAATGAGAGGACTGAGTTAGCTACAGCCAGGCTGACTCCATGACAGGCTGCAAACTGGCAGTTTGAAAGACTGGCCTAAATTTCTGTTTGCCAGAAATGAGAACTCAGACCCAAGAACCTGTAGTCAGTCATCCACAGCCACAGACAGACAATCCAGGGACACCTCATCATATGGCCTAAAGTAAGAAGAGATAGCTAGCAGGAATAATCGACCCCCTCCCTGAAGGTCTCCAGGGCCTTACCAATTATAGAATCAGTCAGATCCCTAGAGATAGAGCTAACCAATCAAGGTAAAAGGGCACATACCCCTCCCTGGAATTCCCTACATGACAATAAAAGCTGAGCCTGCGAGTCCACCATGGGTCTCCTTTTCTGAATGGGAAGACTCCTGCATGTAGGAGATTCAGCCTGAATAAATGCTCTTTGCTTTTGCATACTATGTGAGTCTGGGATATCATTCTCTGGTGATTTTCAGACCCTAACACAGAAAGTGGAAGGGAAGAAGCTGGGGCGGTGAATACAGGGGCAGGCAATGATTATGCATGCTTTTCTTCATTTATGAAAGTTCCGGTTTCTACCTCTCGAGGTGGGGCACCACAAAACAGCCTCCTCCACAACAGATGCAGTTGTATGGTTTATTCCACACATCAACCCCTCCCTGGAATCCAGCAGATCTTTTTCCAGCCTACAAAGCAATTTAAAATCTAAAGAGCTAATGAGCAGATAATCTCACACATACAAGGGAAGGGAATTGCTGCATGGGAAAACCTATTTTGTTCTTGTTTTTGCTTTGTTTGTTTTTTTTTTATGAAGTGTGTAATTGATTAGTCTCATCAAATTCTCAATACAATATTGTCTGTGTGGAGTCGGGTAAGGTAGGCTTTTATTCGCCCATAGTTATTTTCTGACCTTTAGGATGATATTTTCTGTGCACATCAATAAAACACCCAGTCTGCCTCACATGCTGGCGGTTTCTAACGAACAGAACATTTCTCGTCATTGCGCATTTATGGAACAAGAGATAGACCACTCAATAATATGCAATTAAGCCTCCGAAATGCAGTTGTTTTCATTAGGGAGCTTACGAAAGCTTACAGATGAATAAGACCAACTAATGCGTGTGCACACAGAGCTCCTGGGGAAGAAAACCCTGGCTGCAGAGATTTCTAGAGGTAACACAGAAGAGCCTTCACACTGCAGACCTTTCCGGGATCTGAAGAGATTGGTAAAAGATAATCCCTAGCTGGGACTGTGCTTTGGCTAGCTTCTCAGCTCGGAGGCAGTATTCAGCAGGAGGTCACACTCTGCCTATTTATATAGCAAGCAAGGCATTTATACTCAATCAGGAACGTGCTTAAAATGGAAAGTTTCTGAAATATCTCATCTTGGTCGATGACTCAGGCCGATGGAACACACCTGTTTTGGGGAAAGTTTGAGGGCTGCACAACACCTAGAGGAAAAATATTCAGAGAGCTCTCTGGAAGACTAGCTTTGTTCAGTTGCACACCTTAGCCTCAGGCAAATGGGAGTTGTCTACCAGTTCACTAATTGTCCGAGGTTGTTTCAGAGCACCTCTTTTCTTGTTACCATATTTTAAATTTGGTATTTATGAATATTTATGAATCAGCCCAAAGGGCCATCTCCTGAGCCCCTAAGGGAATCATCAGTACCAACTCTAGCTGTTAATGAAGAGGAAACTTTGAGCTAGTGACTCACGCCCATCACCCGGAGTCCCCATAACCACACAGGTGCTATTACACAGAGTGTACATAGGAAGGTGCTAAGGTGATGCTGGCAGAATTGTGGCCAGCAGTATCCAAATTCAGACGAATCCAGCTTCATCTCCACTCATTGCTCTGCTGTGCTCTTAAGAACCAAGATCAATCTCTCCCAGGAGACATCCCCAGTGTTTGCTGGATTTGGTTCAACAGACTCCAGCTAATCTTCTCCAGCTACATGGAGGTTTCTAAGGAGAAGGAAGTTGGCCAGTATCTCCCTCATTCAAACAGGTCAACCTTGTGGTCAGACACCACTTCCTGGTCCATTAGCAACAATTAGCTCTCAGCTATTCTTAGATATGTCTTTTTAAAACCCAGGAGGAGAAGGGCATCCCTATTTTACTCTATTTTACCTATGGTTGTACAAATATGTCTCCCAGAATAGTGTCCTGTATGAAACCTTTACCTTGGTTTTCCTTTGCCACCAGAGGGACCCCTATTACAAGAACAGCAACCTCAGTAAAAATATTTACACTATTGTTCAATCAGGAATTTGCGTTTCTCCTCTTCAGTCACCACATCTACTCAGTCATTACAACTTGTTATTCCCTTTGCTCTGACATTCTCTTCAAAACTCATCCACACACACACACACACACACACACACACACACACTCTTTGTCACTGCTATAGCTCCTGCCTTGGCTGCAAGCCATCTCATATGACCCCTGGATCATTGCAATAGCTTCCTACAGGATCTCCCTGCCTTTTCCACACTAAACGTTATTCGGGGGGAGTGTCCCTAATGTCTTGGCCATTGCATTCCTCTGTTTTATAATGCCACTCCGTTTCTCATTGAGTAGAAGAGAAACCCATTTCACCTCCCAATGCTTACCCTGACCCTTCAGAATCTGGACAACATAAAGCTCAGGCCTTAGACTTACTCAAATTTAAAATGCCCTAGCCAGAGTGGTAGTACACAACTCTAATCCAAATACCCAGGAGGCAGAGGCTGGAGGATTGCCATTAGTGCAAGGCCAGCCTGGACTGAATAATGTGTGCCAGCCTACACACTGTGAGCAAGGGCTACAAAGTGAGAGCCTGTATCGAAACAGAAAAGAACAGCTTAAGGTTATTTCGCCATCGCTTTCAATTCGTTATTACTGTAACAGGTATAATAAGTGATAAACCACGTACAGCTTGTAGCCAGATTTCTGACCGTATGACCAAATCTCCATCTGTGTGGGTGACAAATGTGCTCTTTACATTAGTAACAACCTCAACGTGTAATCTGACACAATATCCCACGGAAGCCATCTCTACTACTCTGTAGCATTACCTGCTGTTATGCTTGCCAAATTTAAAGCTAGCTCCTGTATCCTACTCCTTTTATGTAAACATTTTATTGGATGGCCTACAGCATATATAAATCAAATTAAGAATTTTGAGCACAAGCCATTTAATTGAGAGGTAGATGCAAAAAACCCGAAAATTTATAAATGAGTACACGTGCGTGTGTGTGTGTGTGTGTGGTGTAATACTAAAGATTCCACTATCTCACCAAATAACCAAATAGAAAGCAAACACCATCGCTCCCGTCACTCCAGCTGATGTGACAGAACACACTATGATCCTACCAGGAGGCAGAAACAGCAGAATTGTCATAAGTTTGAGGGTCTTTTTGGTTGGTTAGTTAGTTGGTTTGAGGTTTTGCTGTTGTTCTTTTGGTTTAGATTATTTTTAATTGTTGTTGTTTGCTATTTTGGTTTCAGTTTTTCAAGACAGGGTTTTTCTGTGTAGCCCTGGCTGACCTGGAACTCACTCTGTAGAACAGGCTGGCTCGAAGTCACAGAGATCTGCCTGCTTCTGTCTCCTAAGTGCTGGGATTAAAGGCTTTGTGCCACCACTGCTAGGATTGCCATAAGTTTAAGGTCAGCCTGGTCTATACCGAAAGTTCCAGGCTAGCCAGCCAGGACTAAAGAAGAAGATTGCTTGAAATAGGTGAGGGGATGTGTGGGAATAGAAGCAGGAGAAGGAGGAAGGAGAAAGTGGAGGAGAGGGGAGAGGGAGGGGAGGAGGAGGGAGAGGAGAGAGGGGAGGGAGAGAGGAGGAGGGAAGGGGAGAGCAGGGGGAAGGGAGGAGAGACAGGATAGAAACTTTCCCTGAGAGACTGGATATAAAAGAAGATATGGACTGTAATCACCTCTATTCATTCTTGTACAGGATATCATATTTAGTGTAATTAAATAGACTAAAGAAATGTAAAGGCATCAAGATTAGAGAGGAAGAGGAAAAATGGACTATTCACAGATGATGCATTTGAAAATCCAAAAGGCTGGGCAACTAAACTATTAAAATTAAATTGGAACATTTAGCATGGTT